TTAAAAATAATTTTAATATTTTTTAAAATTAAAATATAATTTTGATATAAATTTAAAAATTAAGCGATCAAATTAATATTTTAACTATATAAAAAGTATGCCCTTCCCATTGTCCTGAAAAGATCTAATTCCTGGAAATACGATGGTTTAAAGATGTCACCTAGAGCCGTAATAGTAGACTTTGCTTGTAACAATTTTTTAATTTAACCCCCGGATTGTGCCATTCATGCCGATCCTATATTATAAAAATTATTAAAATTATCAATAAATTTTAAATAAATACTTAATGAGTTTTTAAAAATCTTTTATAAACAAATTCTTTTAAAATCTTTGCACCGAGCCTTTTGAATCAAATGACATTAGTCACCTCATAGTGCACTTACCCCTCCCTTGGGCTTAGGTTCGACCCGACCCCTTATCAGCTCGTTCAAAAAAAAAATTCTTTTAAAATCTTTAATAAATCTCTTTAAAACAATTATAAAATCTTAAACAAATACTCAATAAACCTCTTTTAAGAATTTAAAACATGCCTCAAACTTAGAGTTTAATATTTTAATTTCAATAGTATATTATTACCTGATTTTAATACAACTTTTGATTACATTTGAATTCAAATTTTACTAATTATATTATAAATTATATTATAAAAAAATGTTAAATTCTTTAATAAATTCCGATTTTACATGATCTAAAAGCTCGTGTTGGGGGTGGCAAAATAGAGCATGTGCATGTCGTTCTTTTTAACATGTTATGTGATTTTTTTTTTTTTTGATATTAAGCTCTCGGTATTCAGTAATCATATTAGGTCTCGATTAATCAGAAATCGAGTAACGTCGGACCCTATTAAAGGGAAATTCTCTCAACACCTGTTTCTACATTTACAAGACTCGAACTCAAAACTTTATTTAAGGAGAATCAAATTCATTCTACTCAGATTAACAGGCCATTGATATGTTATGTGATCTACGTTTATATGGAAGTTTAAGGTATATTACATGGCTCAAGAAAATTTAAGGCAAAAACCTTCCATAAGCTCTCAAACTTATTTCAAAACAGCATTTAAG